TTTGAGATGGGCAGGGCAGGCATAGCTGATGCGCATAAACACCCGCCAGAAGATCATGCACACTGAGATGTATAGCAGGTGCAAAATACCGCCGCTTTGGCTTGTCTCGGGGCCCTTGAATCTGAGGCTCTCAGGCAGGTTGGCCTTCCAGTTTTCGATGTCTGAAAGTAGCTTATGGAGCACATCATCGGTCACCAGCGTGAGACCAGACGGGCTGTCGCACATTAGACAATTCATATGACGGGCAGCTGCAACGTACCTGTAAATGGTCTTGACAACTCGGCCCCCGATAACACTCAGTCGCACGAGCTCATCCAGGTATATGTCTTTGGAATCTCCGGACGACGGCAATCGCACGTCGCAATCATGCACGTCGATCATTTGCGGAAAACCGTACACCAAACTCGTCCTAGAATGAATTTTTAGTGCTGTTGAACAGCCGAATGCACACGTCAACTCACCAACGGTCGCTGATCAAACACGCACCCCAAACTCGACGGCGCAACTCAATGTCAACTTTGACCATCTCCGCGCGATGAAGTCCGAGATCTTGCGCCTGTCAATACTGTCAATGGAAAGTTCCGTTGTAAGAATCGACTGACCATGCGGATGGCGGCACCCAGTCTTGCCCACATCGCAGACAACGCTGTGGGAACAAACTGCGAGTGGCAGTCGCCGGTCATGGACAAGATGAGGAGCGCTTGCACGTTCGCCATAGTCGGTGTGCTCAAGACGTCTTCGCCCCTGATCACACCATTGACTGCCCAACGGATAGAATCAAATAACGCCTGAGGAACTTCCCTCCTGGCGGCCGCAACGAGACACATAGACCAAAGCAAGATGGGCGGCGGCGAAGAGAGCGCAAGAAATTCTGGCTTCGTGATGATAGGGAGCAGAGGTTGAACATCTGCGAAATAGGAGTTCAACAATTGCTCAATCATCGCCGGATCGATGGAGTAGTCTATCGGCCGCGGCGTCGAGGTCTCCTGTTCGCTGCTCAGAGGCTTGGCAACGCGAATGAGCCCGTCGCCATTCTGAGAGACTTCGAATGAATGGTGATAACGAGAGTCGTAACCTTCGTAGATTCGTGATGAAATCGAAGCCGTAGAGTGGAGCAGATGAGCTGGGGACGTTGGCCCTACTACGCGTTAGAGCAAGTGAGAGTGAAGCGACTGGTACACACCAAGAACACTACTATCACGCTGCTTGTCGCCGGAAAGAGATTTTGAGGGCTTGGCAGCTTGACCAGCTTGACCAGCTTGACCATCCTTCTCGCCCTCCTCAACAAACTTTTTCTTGCGGAATCGCGTCTCCGCAATCGGCAGAAAAAAGGTGCAATCAAAGCAGAATTGCTGACAGTGTTGACATCTCGCTGGTTCAGAGTCGGTGATGATGTCGCAGCGAATCTTCCGCGACCGACACGAGTCACAAGCACGCTGAGTCTTGGTGCGCTTCTTGAGTTCAAGAGCGGCTGCCGCAGCGCGTGATTGGCTAGGCGAGGCGGCATCCGCCGATTCCCCATCATCGTCAGAACCTCCCTTATCCTTACCAGCTGGTTGAGACTGTTTGCGTTTCCGCTTTTGTCCGGCAGCAGAGGCGGAATCCTGCGCTGCGGTCGCGAGCGCAGCTGGTTCTGCGGGTGGGTGGGCAGGCGGGGGCGGCCCATACATCATGACCTGCGGAGGGTACTGCGGGTAATAGTGCGGGTAAGGCGCATGATGGACAGGATACGCGTATTGCGGTGCACCTGGGGCACCTGGAGGCGGAGGGGCGGCTGCATATTGTTGAGGCGAGAAGGTGGGAGGATATGGTGGGTTCATGATGTATGGGGGATAAGGGAGAGCCGTGGGATGCGGAGGGGGAGGAGGGGGTGCCGGCGAAGCTGTTGCAACATAGTTATTAGTTACCTTGCACAGTTAAGGAGGATGGGGAGCCAGACAAGTACCGTCGGGGGCGGCGGCGGCTGCTTGCCTGCGGGGTTGCCGAGATTTTTTGGACGTCGGCTTGACGGCCACAGTTGAAGCCTCTGGAGGTGCAGGTGCCGGAGCGGGGACTGCAGGTGGCGATGACATGGTTTCTCGGCTCTTATCTAAACCGCCTTTCTCCACAACAATTTTTAGGAGAACTCTTTAGGACTCACCTCAAGCCTTTCGGCGCTTTGGTCGTTTGGGGGCGGAAACAAGATGCGGCACCTACGGATCATTGAATTCAAACTCAGCCCCGCTCAACGCGCAAAATCAATTCAAAAAACTGATTCGGATCTCTGTCCGAATCTCCGATCTTTCGACAGATTTCCTTCCATTCGCGTGGATGTGGAGCCACAATGATCGATGACGTAGAAGATCGAGATTGAGGTGGATATTTTTGAAATGCAGATGCTGGCACGGGAACCCGCTCGAATGCTACTTGGCCGTAGTCAATCCTGCAAGTTAGTGCAGTCAGGCCAGACTTGAAAGCGCGAATGTTCCGCCGAGCTCCAATTCAACATCATGACGTCACGGTAGATCCTCGGCCGAATCTCACGGACCAAGCGCGGACATATTCATTTGATCAGGTTGCTGACTGGCGGCCCTCCGGGCGAAAAAAACTCGCCCGGGTTTCGAATCTTAGGATATAGTTTACGTGCATCTTGGAGCCCAACCACGGGCAGTATGTATGAACTTGGCAGGGGACGGGGTCATTTGGGACAGTCTATGTCTCAGCAATGCCTCGAGGCCAGGGACTGAATGCAATTGTGATGTGATGGCTGATGAAGTCTTTTTCCATCTGCTCTGTAGACTCCTACTTACGTGGACAAGCCGGAGATATATGCAGATGTTGTATAATTTAGACTAGATCAAGACAGATGTATTACTCAACGAGTTTGCATCATCCCCGGATTCACCTGTCGTCCGTCCCGAGTCGCTGGACTCGCAAAATCCAGCCACGAAAAGCCCACGGGGCGACACAACACAGCCGCAAGATTGCGGCGCCACGAGCCGTGTGAAAATGGATTAGGAGGAGCTGGTCCAGGCACAAGGCTTTTGTGCGCTTGGTTGCGGATCTGCGGACAGATCGTGGGCAATCGATCCGACATTCTCGACAGAGGGAACGTACCTGCTCGATGGTGGTGATGTTTAACAGAAGTAGCTAGTGACGGAGATTAGCTTTTGGCATTGCATCAGCTGCGGACGTACTCGGACGTGGTACAACATCAGAGCGGACACGGGCCAAACAACCGCCACAGACAGGATGAAGACAATGACGCTCCCCCACCCCTTTCCACCGTGATCGCCGAGGGCCTGCCTGAATGTCTCGTGATTTCTCCGTGTCAGAAGATACAGGTGGATCGCGGAAGTGCAGAGAACGAGAATGACGGTCAGGGTGGCGGAGACAAGCAGAACAAAGAAGCAGGTGTAATTGCGGCGCCCCACGCAGTTATTAACCCACGGGCAGTGGTGATCGCAGTCATCCACACAGTTATCGCACTGGACGTGGATCAGAAGGAAGCCGCGCCTGAACCAGAAGCTACGCACCATTTTGCAGTGGCTGGATCGAGGGGGGCGATATGTTTTACACGTTGGACAATACTTGACTCTCACGCTGCACTCTGGTTAGCACATAATTCGGAATGCATCCGTCGAGACACTCACACGTCAGACCGAACCTTGAGGTCTCTAGGCATAGGCGCTCTCCTACTTCCGTCTGATGGTGATGTGGCTGGATACGGAGGATCTGGGTCCAAACCCCGGGGAAGGATTCCTGGGTCTCGGAAAGCAGTAGCTAGCATGCTCGATATCGTGATCAGGGTCATGTATCCGCATACAATGGCCGCAGCAGGGCTCAAGTTGTGCCACCACCATGGTCCCGTCGTCCCAAACCAGACACCGGCGATAGTAAACAACAACGTCAGAGATCCAATAAAAGCGTAGGGCGAGTCGCCCCCCGAAAGCACGTGCCCATTCAAGAAAAACCGATTTCGTGAAGGATGCAGCTGATAGTTTCGGAAAGGCTTCTTGGTGTCTGGATCAATGTCGGGCAGTGCCTCCAGTGATGGTCCATCGTGAATCCCTCGAGGCGCAAACCCAAATGACGGCACAGGTGAGTCGAGAGGGCTGTGGAGAGCCTCGGAGGGGAAGTCCGTAGGCGCCATCGACGTCTTGTACGGAGAGGCAGAGGGAATGTCGTATAGACCCATCCCCACGTCTTCGTCGCGGGCTTTGCCATCATGGGGCGAACGCCCTTCAAACGTCGACCCCATCCCAACACCTTGGTGTATCGACTCCACACTCATCCCTCGTCGCAGACTGGCAACGCGCTCAAGACTGTGGCGGATCAATCGACCAGTGGCACTGCGAGGGGCGGGGCCAGCATTTTCGCTGTTTCCGCTCGGGCGAGGAGATAACGCAGGTCGAGTATTGATAGTTAGCGGGGGATCGCGTACCGCCCTCGACCCTTTATGATCTTCTTCAGTCGTTCCACCAGCGATGCTTCCCGTGTGCTCGTCTGAATCGCTGGACAGTCGTTTAGTAAGTGACGTAAGGTTGTAGACATCTCCATCGCCTGGAAGTGCTGAGGAAGACTCTACGGATGGCTGTCTGTACTGATGGTTGGGACGCGACGGCCGAAAGAAAGAGGCAGATGGTTGGATGCCACCAGCGTGCGTGGTGCTATTATAATGGTATTGGGACGCGAAAGTCGGCACAGTGGGAGAGCGGGAAGGCTCTACACGCGGTGAAGAAAGGGGCGAGCTTGTTCCGTTGCTTCGTGTACCGTAGCTGGCTTGTGGGCCATGTCCTGAAGGACTGTTGGAAGCAATCGCAGTGAGAGTCGAAGGGAGAGGTAATTGTGAAGGAGAGGGCTTGTCCGGGAAGTTGGGAAATGAAGGTGACGAGGTCATGCCGAAAGCATGCAAGAACAGTAGAAGGTTCCAACGAAGAGGTATCGGAGGGGCTTGACAGGGCCTTTCAAATGCCTCGCATCGTCAATCTTATTCGTGGCTGTGCTCTACAAGGCTTTCACACGCTCGTTCTGTTTTTAGATGGCATGGCTTCTAGGTTAACCAATGCGGTCTTGTACGCCTCTATCCCAGATCTATCCATCCCATACTTCCTGGCTACTGCGATCACCGAAGGGGCCCGTCGCACACACGGCCGTCTGATCATCGTTCTCACCTCACCCGTATTCGCGGACAGTCAGGCCGTCTCTCATGCCGCCACTTGGAAGCTAGTACAAACGCTGCTTACGTTCGTCTACGTGCAAACGACCAAAGTTGCGCAGGAGATGAACAAGATTCTATTGGAAGTGGATGTGCTCCTCCGCGGCCCTCACGACGCGGCGCCGGAATATCCCACTCCGCCGGAAGCGGTATTTTATGTCGATGGCGGTACGACCAGTGGAACCATTCTCACTACATCTCTCTCACGCTGCGCAGATTCGATTGAGATCCCGTCCGCTTTCGCTACGCTCCCCCGTTTCGTACTTCCGAGAGAGAGCGCGCGGAGGACCGAAGCAGTAGTACTCGACACCGCGCACCATCACCCCTCGATGTATCCCGTCGTAGCTCTGGGCGGGACTTTCGATCATCTCCATGCGGGGCACAAAATCCTTCTCAGTGTCGCCGCATGGCTTGCGTCGTCCAAGCTCATCATCGGCATCACGTCGGATGCTCTACTCACTCGCAAGACATACGCGAGTGTCCTGGAATCGCTATCCCAACGCAAATCGGTGACCGAACGGTTCATGCGCGCGTTCCGGCCCGATCTTGTGTACGATCTTGTTGAGATCAGTGATGTTTATGGCCCAACTGGATGGGACCCAGACATCCAGGCCCTGGTCGTGAGCAAAGAAACCCTTTCTGGCGCAGATGCCAGTGAGTTGTCTCATTCTCTTGCTCTTCTATGAAGCTCAACGGTGTATTGCAGTTGCCACTCATCGCGCGGCGCAGAACCTGCCAGCCTTGGAGACATTTGTGATCGATGTTATATCGACTACTTCGACTAGCCTCAGTGAAACAGATGCTGATGCTTTGCGACAAGCGAAGATGAGCAGCACCTACATTCGCCAATGGATTGCGGAGAATCAGAGGTCCACTTGAGAGCTCAGTTGCGATTCATATATCCACCCGCCTCGTAACTGAAGCCCATTCTGTATTATTTCTCTGGATGTACCAATTCTCCGTGAATCTCACGGTCTGTTCTCTGCAGATTTCGGATGGGTCTCTTCTGTTCTGATTCAGTATCGGATTAGATCGTGTACCAACCACGTGCTGTCAAGAAGCCTGCCGAGCCTGCCGACGACGATTGACACAAGTACATAACTTGCATGTCAACCATGATGATTTCGATTCTGGGGGTCTCACTATTTCTCGGCTCTTGACCTCGATATGGCTCCTGTCCGTTTATCTATAGCATGCTGGGATTATGATCGCATGAAAGCTATTGAAGACGGCCGTGTGAGGCCAGAGGGTATCGAATTGACGTTCTTGAACCTTAGGTATGCCAGGTCTTGATTGCGAGATCTCGTGTCTCATCCTCCGCACTAGGGTGGAGGAAACGTGAGCGGACTTTCATCTCGAGCGGACTTCTTTTCCGATGAATTTATTGCGCAGCTTCTTCCGCCAGCTGAGATATCAGGAGTTCGACATCAGCGAGATGTCCCTGTCGTCCTATGTGGTATGCCAACTGTGCCATGGGATTATCGTTGCGTCATACTCTCTAGCTCACGCTCAACTCTGATGATCCTCCGTTCATCGCACTGCCGATCTTCCCGTCGCGAATGTTTCGTCATCAGTCGATCTACGTAAACCTCAAAGCAGGAATCCAGAAACCAGCGGACCTCGCAGGCCGCCGCATCGGCACACCCGAGTTCCAAATGACTGCGCCTGTCTGGCAACGGGGCATCCTGCAAGATCAGTACGGTCTGCAGTACGACGCCCCGCATTACTTCACGGGGAATGTCGAGCCCTCGACCGAAGAGCGTCACGAGAAAGTCCCTCTGAAGTTGGCGGATAGCGTCAAGATCCAGCCCATCCCGAAAGGAAAATGTCTCGCTCAGATGCTGGCTGATGGGGAGATCGACGCACTCGAGAGCGCGTGAGTTGCCAGCTGTTTCTCTGCATCCCCATGTCATGCTCAACGCTGTTGCTCAGAACCGCGCCTTCGACCTTTGGCACGCACCCTGACGTCGGTAGATTGTTCCCAAACGCACAGGAAGTTGAAAAAGGTAGGGCTGGTCTATTCTCTGACGTAAAGTGTCTCCTCACTCCCTCACGCAGCCTACTTCAAGGAAACTGGGATCTTTCCCATCATGGTACGTCCAGCAGTCACTGGCGAGCACTCGAATCGCTAAACCACACTCTCAAGCACGTGATTGCTGTGAAGCGCTCGGTTCTGAAGGAGAATCCGTGGATTGCACGGTCGTTGACCAAAGCGTTTACCAGCTCCTTGGAATATGCCTATGACGCAATCCACGAAAGAGCTGCTCTGCGGTCAGGATGGTGATAGCATCTCCAAATCTCAACTCGCTGACTCGCTCGCAGCTACATCTTGCCATGGATGCAATTCCATGTTGAGGAGACACAGGCCGCGTTGTGCGTTGACGGGCAGGCCAAATGGTGGCAGGATGGGCTCACCACTCAGAATGTCCGGACTCTGGATAAATTCCTCGAGGTATGCCTTCTTTCTCAGCTTCTGCAAGCATTGAAATCTGACGCCGCACAGTATTCGTTCAGCCAAGGTCTGGCAAAGAAGAAATGGGAAGTCAAAGAACTGTTTGCTCCGGGTTCCCTCGAGGCCTTTGTCGTGTAACTGTAGATCCGAGGGCTCGATTTTCACCTAAAAACGGTCGTCATTCTAAATCCAATTGGTTGTGCATTACCCCTTGCCATCTTTGGGTTAGTGGACTCGTTATTGGCAACGGCGCAAGCACTTGACTGAACGCAAGCGATGAATTGGATTATTCTCGCTCTCAAGGAGTGCAATTGGAAAAAAACCCTAGCGGGAGGTCCAAAGACACTCTGAACTCTTCTGCTGAACCCATTCACTACATTCCGTGGCCTGATAGTCCCCGTTGGGGGCTAGATGGCTGGCCCACTGATGGTCTCCCATAGCCCCCATCAAGGGACTATATATATAGACAACGCGGGGACTATTGGTGTCTACCGTGTGACGATTGGGGGCTAGAGTGATCGGTGTCTGATTGGCCATCGCTAGTTCACGGCTAGTCCCCTACTAGTTGCCACGTGCTCAGGATGCTCCACACATGTCACACTATCAGACACAATCACAGCACACTGAAGTTTTTCATTTCACAGCACACTGAAGTTTTTCATTGAGAGTCAACTACAGCACAATATTGTGTCTAAGGCAACGAGAGAAGTAGCCCCCTGGGGCTTGAAGAGAACAAGGAGTGGCTACATGGGTAGTCCAAGCATAGACCCCAAAGGGACTAGTCAAATAGGTCATTGCTCAGTCGGAATCGTCCCTGGCTGCATAGCCCCCGATGGGCTATCAAGTTAGTCCCGGCTCGGTCTTGACTCGATCATTGATCGGTCATTAATCAGCCGGTCTCACCCCCACGGGGTCTATCATCCCACGGAATGTAGTGATTGTCGCTCAGACACAATGAACTCGTTGGCCAACCATGAACCCATCAAGCCATTCTGAAACCAATCGGCGAGATAGATTCGGGATCTTCGGGGTGGAGCTGCAGGAATCGATTCGGACCCCGGCAGATCCCATCTCGTCTTGTAGATGCACTGTACATAACGAATTCATGCATGCATTACTTATCGTCTTGTAAGATATCCTCCATCTGACTTTCCTCGTGATCTTTCTGCAGCGCGATCAAAAAGTCTTGTAGCCCGTCTCCTTCCATGACGGAGGTAAGATTCATCAGCGAGAGCCCGATGCGATGATCCGTAACACGCTCCTGGGCATAGTTGTACGTGCGGATCTTGTCACTGCGGTCGGCGCTCTGGACGAGATTCCTCCGGCTCGCTCGCCGCTCCTCCATCTCACGAGCAAGCTTGACTTCCATCAGCCGACTCGCGAGCACCTGGAATGCACGCCGTCGGTTCTAGTCGGAGTTCAGAACACTATCATGGACCCATTCGAAACGAAACGCACGGTATGTTGAGAACGCTCGTCCTGCATGGCCACGGTGATTCCCGTGGGGATATGAGTCAGTCGAACGGCCGATTCGGTCTTGTTTACATGCTGCCCGCCAGCGCCTCTAGCCCGCATGACCTCAATTTTGATGTCGCTCATCGAATACAGCTCCTCCTTCTGTACTTCCGATTCCTCAACTAGCGGAAGAACCTGCCATTGAGAATTTCCGCGTGTGAGATTCAGAATATACTCTCAAGACAAAACACTCACCACGACCGCTACTGTGCTTGTATGTGTCCTCCCGCTCTGCTCCGTCGCCGGCACTCTTTGCACACGATGCACGCCGGTCTCCAAACTGAACGAGTCATACGCCCCGACGCCCTTGAACTCCACCACGGCATCCTTGATCCCGCCCGAGTCCAGGTTATTCTGCGACACGATATTCGCTTTCCAGCGCGACGCCTGCGCGAGACGCAGATACATCCGCAGCATGTCCCCGAGGAAGAGCGACGCCTCCGAGCCGCCGACGCCCGACTTGAGCTCGACCAGGGCAGACAGATGCGAGGTGCGTGACGGGGGCACGAGGATTCTGGGGAACTCTGTGGTTAGCATGTCCTGCATCGCCTGGGAGAGCATGTCGTAGTCTTCCGACGCCATGGAGCGCAGGTCCGGATCGTCGAGCAGCGTGGTGGTCTCGCGCAGGGCCTGCAAACTGGTTATAAGTACATGAGCCGGGTTTCCGTGCTTCGACTGAGCGATGAACGCACCTCCCGGGTGTGTATCCACTTGTCCCATAGTTCCTGCAGTGGCTCGGATTCTTTCAGTTTCTTCAATCTGGCTACGTCTTCAGGTGTGGACATGGTTTCGGTGAGCTGGATGTGTAATTAGACGTGGGTCAGTTCGGTGTGGGGCGGCACAAACTTGAGAAGTCAAAGCCACCCTATCGTCAATCCGGCGCTTGACGACGCGAAGAAGGCGAGCACCATCCTTTTCAATCTGCTGTAGAGCAGTAGAAAAGCAACGCCGCCCAAGTGAAAATAGCATGCATGCAAGAAATAAACAACAGAGACAAATAACGCGTCGCGTCATGACCGAGCTTGAAACGCGTTTTACCGAGCCCGTAAGTAAGTACAATATGTAGCGGATGTATACAATCAGTCAGATTCCCCTCCATTCGAGCTTGCGACATCGCTCTCAGCGTCATCATCGCCTGGTGCGGAAGTGAAGCCAGAGAGCGCAGTGGCACCACCCTGAGCCGTCTTCCAGGCATGTGCCATCTGCAAGAATTTGAAGGTGGTCGGATTGGATTCCCGCTCGTCGTCAGCAAACACCATGTCCCAGTCTGTTGTCGCGTCAGCTCTTAGTTGAGAATGCAACAGCAGATTGCACGCACCTTCGACCGTCTGCCCAGTCTCGGCGTCGACAACGCGCCGTTTACTGACAATTGGCATCATCTCTTGGACCTTCTTGACGTCGCTCTCACTGCCGTGCGTCTCTTCGAATGTCTTCCAGACCTCAAGCAGTGCTACACGCTGGGTTGTAAAACATGGTCAGCGCATTCGCTTTCGGCTTCTGAATGATACCGACCTCGCTCTTGAGTCCTTTGTCCTTGAGATCTTTGTACCCACGCTCGAACACCTGGCGTGCCAGAACCGGGTCTCCTTCCACCGTCTTGACCTCAGCCTCCTCATCGTCCTCCTCCTCCTCATCCCGCAAAGCACGTGCGATCGGAATAGGCTCCGCCTCAAACAAAGCGTAGGATATCCAAACTTTGACGTGACCACTGAGTTGAAGGAGACGTTCATACAAGTTCCGCGCAGCATCTCGTTCGCCCTCTTCAATTTCAAAATCGATGAATGCCTTCCATAACAGTTCGGGCATCGACAGCGGAGACTGAGAGACGCCCAGTTCGAATATGGATCGAGTCCGGGCAAAGTCTTGCAGTTGTGACTCCAATTCAGCAAACTTGATCCACGCAGGGGCGTTTGCCGAATCAAACTGTAACGCAGTTGAGCGAAATCAAGCCAGTTCGGAGGAACCCTTACCTCGAGGTATTTTTGGTACAAGGCACGAGCACGGTCGAATTCTCGTAACTGAAAGAACGTAAGCTCGTCATCGTGAGCTCAGTCAAGTACAGACCTCTATTTCAAGGTCAATATAACCCTTGAAGAGAGCTTCTTTCGGTGCCATTCCGATCGCTGCACCCAAGATTTTCCGTGCGGCAGGGAGGTCTAGCCTGCGCACTTCAAATTTGGCAAACATGAGCCACAGTTTTGCGAACGTGAACTGCTTGTGAGGCACAAGCTTGATCGCCGCGTTGTAAATCTGGCGGACTCGTGCAAAGTCCTGGAAGTCGCGTAAATCACCAAAGCGATATTGTTTGAATAGATCTCAGATACCTTGGTCTCAATTTCTTCAAAGAGAGCATAGTCAAGCCACAAGAATATGTATCTCCTCCAATGCCTTTTCTCATTCCCTGGAGGCACCTGGGCAACGGCGCGTTCGTATACTTCTCGCACACGTCCGATGGCGGCCTCTTCTTCTTCAGCAGTGGCGCCTTCCTCTTTCAGATCCCGGAGGGCGGTCTCTTCAAGACGAGCATAGTCGAACCAAACGTCGTAGTTTCTGCCATCTCGCGAAATCTCATCCTCGTATTGAATTCTTCGCTTGCCCAAGACAGTATTTTCGAGCGTCGTGCGGGTTCCGTGTTGCTTTTCAAACTTGCTATAAGAGGCGTAAAGCCCTGCTGATTTCGACCGCGAGATTCGAGATAACGCAAACTGTCCCTCAATTCAAAACAGAGGATCAGAAAAGGCGTGAAAGGACACACCTTATAGACCACCCTAGCCCGTTCAAACTCTTTCAACCGAGTTTCCATCTTGGCAAATGCACCAAAGACAGCCTGAGCCTTCTCAACCTGCTCCTCGTCGTCTCCGAAGAACTCAAGCGCAGTTTGGAATACTTCGCGAGCCTTGTCCAGCTTCCCCCTCTCTTCCTCGAACTTGCCCCACTTCACCCACACCCTCGGCTCTGGTCGAATCCCGACCCATCGTTCGAAGATCGCGCTCGCTCGGTCAAGCTCTTGGTAGCGTTCCTCCATTTTAATGTATGCCTGCCACGCCTTGTCATCCGGTTCCCACTGCATCCAGCGCTCGAACACCTGCCGGGCACCGGGCACGTTCTGCAGCAACTCCTCGAGGTAGACGTACTTGTACCAGAGCTGGTCGACCCGCGGGAGGAGCGTGACAGCGCGGTCGAATAGGTTACGCGCGTGCTGGACGTTGCGTGATTTCAACTCCATCTCTGTGTACGAAAGCCAGAGCTGGATGCTACGTGGGTCGACGTCCAGAGCACGCTCAAAAACAGATCGAGAACGCGCAAATTCATTTTGACTGGCCTGCGGGATAATGATGAGGTGGAGGAGTGGCAGGACAGAATCACGGCGCGTACCTCCCAGTTCGCATACTGCAACCATTCCTTACTGAACACGGATCAGACGTTGTCCAAGTGTATGAGTAGAACACAAACATGCTTCCCCTTGTGCGCCGCACCCGCTCCTCGAATTCCTTTCGTTTCCTGCCCCGGTACTCATGAAGCTCCTCGAAATCCTCAACTCGCTGTCTCGGCGCACGAAAGGCGGATTCTTGTCGTTCTTGAGCCTAAATAGAACACATTAGCTACAAGGCATTATTCAGTAACAAATAGCGCACCTCGCGAAGGAGTTGTTCGGCGGTGATCTACCACAAACAGTTCAATGTCCAAATCACCATTACCAGACGGCAAAGCGCACCTGAATCGCCGCCGGAGCGCGGTTCTTTATTCTGAAAATTAGTATAAGTTCGCCGGAAACGAAATGGGTGAAACACGTCTGAGCTTACCTCGGCGCGCGACCGTCCTGCATGGCGGCGGGGACGAATGATCGAGCTCGACACACGACCAAACACGTCTGGCAATCGCACGTGTTCCCACGCTCGGCTGTGCGATCCTCTCCCCAGGACTTTGTGCTCGCTGGACACTATTAGCTTGCGCTTCTCGTCTACGGACGCCGCTTCTCTCTTCCCGACCCCTCTCCCTCCTCTTCTCTTGCACAGTGCATCATTAACGATCCTCTCACGATAATTTCACGACTACGATTTCGTAACGACCGCTTTTTCTCGTCTTAATCTCCATGTACCATCCGGATCCCGCGTACGATGCCCGGCCATCTCAATTTCGCCGCCCCTGGTCTCCCGAGCCCTACGACCCACTACCTCGAAGCTCTGGTGGCCGCTCCAACCCACCCCACTCCGATCCATTCAGGAGGAGGGATTATGATTACGACGCATACGACCCGTACGATTTTCCTGCTCGGCGCAGGGAGCCCTCCGACGTCTCTGTGGAGGCCCTTGATCTGGCAGACTACCGCATGACGCTCCGGTCACTAGAGCATATGTCCCACGGCATGTATCCCCCCACACACCGGCCGCTTGCTGCGCGCATGCCGACGTCTATGTCTCGTGGCGATACATTATCATCTAACACACATACTAATTCCGGCGGGCGAAACACAACCCGAAGACCCTTCTCGCTTCCTCCGCCCTCCGTGCAATCGCACTCTACCCGGAACTCACACCCTGCGTCACCCCGCTCCGCTAACAATCACAATCACCCTTACCTCCAACCACCACGCAATTCATCCCCGGCTCTCGACACCGCACACTTTCCCGCTTGGTCGCGCAACTGGTATAACACTAACAACCCAGGCACCGCCGGCTCGAGATCGTCGATCCCAACACCGGTATCGCCACCTGACATGTACACCCCGCTGCCACATTCATCATGGGGGTCCAAACGAACGTTCGAGGAAGATGGTGTGGATCCATTCACGGACTCGAGCCGGGACTATCTTCCGTGGAGTTCAGAACCCCCCGAGTACGGGCCAATCGACCCGGCGCTCAAAGAAGAACGCATGCGCATGCTTGAGCGCGAGTTTGGGACGTCTTCGCGAAACCAGGACAGCTCAAAACCGACGGCAGCTAGCAATGGGGAGTTTTTGGACGCGGATGGGAAACCACTTGTGGGGACGGTGAATGCCAAGGGCCAGCTAGTGACCAAGGGCCCGAAGAAGCGCATCGCGTTGAGGGCGCTGCAGATTGTGCTGGCCGGAGTGGCTGCTGTACCGTCAATATATGCTGCAGCGGTACGTGTTGTGGCGCATGGCTACTCCATATCATGTACTGACATGCCCACAGCTAATCAAACCGACTCCGGCCGCTCCCCCAGCGGGGACCGCATCGGCTTATGTTTTGTACGCATTCTCTGCGATCTTCGTGCTGCTGCTTTTGTGGCTGTTTGCGTTTCGTCCATGCTGCTGTGCCGGCAAGCGGCGCAAACCGGCGGGACCTGCTGCAAACGGGATGATGGTGCTTCCTGTGACCACCCAGAACGGCAAGAAAGGCAGGAAGCCGAAAAAGGGCAAACACGGGAAACACGGTCCGCCCGCTGCCGGCGACGTTCAGGTGAACTTGATCGTCGACCCGAATGCCTTCGGCCGGCCTGATGATCTCGACGATGACTCGGACGACGAGTATGATGATGAGTTGGGGTCCGTTCCGGGTGGATACGATCCAGGCGCGGCTCGGCGAAAGCGGAGGAAGGCCCGACGACGGAGTGTGTTTGCGGGGCTGGCGATGGAAGAGGCGTGGAAGCATGCCCGTTCATGGGCCAAGACGATCACAGCGGTTGATTCTGTAGGATTTCTAGTGTGGGGCGCCGTGTTTGTGTTTGTGATGATTGGCAAGCGGTGCCCGAGCGGTGGATTCCAGGGCTGGTGCGTGTTGTTTCGTTCTCCATTCGCTGTTCATTCGTTCATAATATGTAGGTGCAACGCCTACAATGTGTCAACGGCGGCAGCGTGTTTGCTCTGGTTTTCGTTCGGGATCGCCATATTTTTCGACATTCAGGATCTGTCTGGCAGCAAACAGTCACCTCGGACACGCACATAGACGCTACTAATGAAACTCACGACCTTTCTCCCCATATATTCGTTAGTTATTGAATATCATATTGCATTACAGATAAAACGGGATGCCATAAACAACGGGGGCAGCACCGGTCAGATATTTGAGCTTGCAGACGTCCCGGGATTGGGCTACGGCAGCGACAACCGACACAGGATCGCTACGCTGCGGTCCTCCGAGCGCGAGTTTGTCGAACACCGCCTGCGAGAACAAGTCGATGTCACGGTCAGTCACGTCCCAAAGGTTGGCCACCAGGGAAGGGCTGCAGGATGCAAGATAAATAATGTAACAAGTCTGTGAAAGGGAATGACACGCACCAGCCAGCGACCATATAATTCCAGGGCGTGCCGATGCGCTCATAATCGCCGAGATCGCGCAAAAGACCGCTGGAGCAGCCCCAGAGCATCACCGCTGCGCAACGCGTCAAGTTCCGGATGCGATGTGCCCTGGCGTATTGCTCGCCGCCTCCGTGTCCAAAGTAAACAACGAGGTCGCTCGTACTCAGTGCCCTCAAAAACTCCATCTCGGACGGCGGACGGCCGACGATGGTCTCCCAGCCATTACGTGTCCTTTGCGACTCGGTCCAGGCGGAGAAACGCGCCTCGGTCTTGTGCAGGTCGCCGGAAGGATTGAGGACACAGACGCCCTTGCGCGGGTTGACGACTGCTCGGTCGACAACAGCGGCTGAGCCGGCGCCGTGTTTTTGCCAGCTCGCCAGCTTGATTCTATCTAGCAGAAAATCGAGATTGGGGATCCGGCTGACACTCCGCCCTCGCAGAATTGGTGTGCTTTCCCACGGTAAGCCCTGCAAATTCTTGTCGAGCACGAGAAACACGTGCTCGTCGTTGGTGGGAGGAACAGCGGCAGCGCCCCGCTGCCTGCGATGGTGCTCCTCTAGCACACTCCGAAGATCAACAACGACCTGATCAATGTCGACTTCTGCAACAGCAACTGGCATGCCATGCAACTGGTACAGATCCAGCACAAAGTAGACAAGATCCTCGAGCTCTTCGTCCCGGCACTTGGGCGACAGCGTTGCAAAACACGCGAGCAGATCGTCGTCCAGCTTTTGCGGTCCCACTTTGCTGTCCTGCAACCGCAGCGCACGCTGGAACACACGGTCAAATTGGACCCGCAGCTCAGCAATGGCAGGCGGAAGCAGATTTGAGCGTGGGGATAAGATCGTCTGGAACTCTTAAAAACGGAATACAAGGGAAATGCAAGTCACTTACTTTGAACGCACCCAGCCAACAGAATTCGATGTTCTCCACAAGCTCTTTCATCCGGCCATCAAGCCGACTGCGTTCTCTCCACCACTTTGCCCTGGCTTCGGGATCGTCTTTGTCGACATGCACGGCCCCTCTGGTGCCTTGATCGCTCAGCTTGACGATCTCCGCGAACTCCCGCACGGCATCGTCATATGTGAGATGCTGATCGGCACCGTCTCGACCTTGCAGTGGAATGCAAAACACCAACGGCGGCTGTGTCCCAGAGCCATACTGCCGCGACACAAACAACGTCCGGCGGTCGTCGGTCACCGTCATGTGCACAACTGTCCAGTTCGCCGGCACACCAGCCATCCGCGACGCAGACAGCGTCGAAATGTCTGGTGCCTGACTCGCGTATTTGAGCTTGATGGATGTCCAGTACTCGGACAGCAGTTGCGTGGATGCATCTTCATCGTCGTCGTCCTCCACAGCAGCAACTGTGACTGCTCCCTCGTGAGCTGCAACCCACTCCAGATCATCTCTTCTGGCAGCGACTACCTTGTGCTCGATCGCCTCGACCATCTCGCGACCGAGAGCAATCGCACTCGCTCCATCCAGCAGCCCAGCCACCAGCACCGCATCTGCCCCATCAACAGCATTCCCATGCCCGAGCGACGTCTGCAGCGCGCGCACAGCAGCCAGACTCACACTCCCGTCACGCACTCGTGTCACATCACCGGTGCGTGCGAAAAGGGTGAGATCAAGCCAGAAGAGCTGTTCAGCCGATTCCAGAGTGCGCAGGATGTCGTGGGACGGCGGAGGAACACTCATGGGAAGTGCAATAGCTGTGAGTCGACTGATTAGTTCGTAATTCAGTGGCGCAACTGAAGCAACACTCACTCGACTCGGAGAGGAACATATCAGTCCTGAAACGGTCGTACACTTGATGCAATGTCAGCCGGCCTAAGAGTACGTTTTCCTGGGCATTGTTACGCAAAGAAGCAGGCAGAGCGAGGAAGCGCTGGAGAAGAGCTGAATATGCAGTTGAGTTGTCGCGTAGCAGCCAGATGTGTTTCCGCAGAACATCCGCTACAAGATCGCCATCCACGCTTTGACCGAATTCCGCAGATTGCCGTGACCTGATCGAGTCGGGATAAGATAAGATAAGATAGAGCAAACAAGCTAACTCACCTGTCCACTTCCAAAGCGCGGAACTGGCCGTCGACCTCGTCCAGGATCTGATAGGCCTGCTCATAGAGAGCACCAGCATCACTATCCCTGTCCTGTAGGCGACTGAGATCGCCCGCCAGACCTTTGAGTTCCGCTGCATCTCGGCCGATGCCATCCGGGGTAGCGAGCGCAAGACTGGCTTCAGCTTCAGTGATCTGGCGCATATGCATCTGTATTTCGCCCCTGCGAGTCACTGCACGCGAGGACAGCGTGATCGCAGCCAGACCTTCCGCCAACTCATGCGCCTGACTGGCAAAGTACTCGGCCTCCCGCGCCGAGCCCCTGGCGCTGTACATCTCACACAGCGAGAACAATGTCGCCAGAAGACCCTCAGAGACACGAAACTCGGTAATGCCTGTAATCCTCCGCGGTTTGGTCGCGGTGCTCGGAGTCGAAGCGGAGAAAGGATCATCGTCGGGAGTTGATGTCGGGGAGAGCCGTGCCAGGGTATCAACTGCGCGATTCCACAACCTCAACGCACGTAGCATCGCCTCAGCATACATCAAGATGTCTTCTCGCGCGCGCTGAATCAGGCCAAACACGCTCGCCGCCACCGCCGCTCGTTCTAGCCGTCCAACTCGCACATAGACCCGCTCAACTGTCGTGGCTGCTGGCTTTTCCGTGCTTTCAGACATTTGTGCGCGCTCCATCGCCTCTGTATAGATTTGCACGCTAACAGTCGGTCAGTTACCATAAGGATGCGTCAACAGGGCGCGCACCTCCTAGCAACATCGTTCGCTAAAACCAGGGCCTCCGCATAACGCAAACACACCAACACACACAGCTCCTCAGGCACCCCTCCAAGCGACCCGTATGCTTGCGTAAACAGCCCCGTCGCCCGTCGCGTTTTGCCGAGTCGCCCGTACTCGATCCCCAGCTCCATGCACGCGATCACGTGTCCCTCCCGAGTCGCGTCCGAGTCCTGTGCCAGCCGTCGCGTGATGTCCAACACCCTTACCTTGAGCAACACATGTCGTTGAAGACTCAGCACCCGGGCAACAAGATCTGGTGATTTTTGAGGTTACAAGACAGAATAACAGCTTGATGTTCACATACGCAGTAACTCGAGCAACTGTGCAGGTGTTTCCACTTTCGGTGTCTGCACTTTGGATGACTGTGCCTTGGATGACTGCGCTTTCGGCGTCTGCGCTTTTGCTGTCCGACGCAGAGGTTTTGAGGCGACGGTTTTCTTCGGAGCGTTCGCACCCTCCAGAACCCGACACGCGAGCTCAACATGAGCCGGCATTGATTCCGCTTGCTTATGGGCATCGAGGGCAGCCCAAAGATGAGCCGAGGCGCGAGTGTGCAAGCGGGTGGGATCATCGGCGCACAAGAGTTCGACCTCGTCCGCGGCGCCATCAACGACGCTGAGCCCTGTGTAATACCCAAACTCCAGACACGCGACCAGGACACCAGCACGGTCCTTGCTGACATCCAGCAGCGCACGCAGCAGAGTCTGCATGACGCGCTGCACGCCTTCTTTCCATCGGCTAGCCGCCAGCGACGCCAGTTGTCGCTCAAGCAGCAGGGGCTGATCTGTCACCAGGACCACCTGGCCAGGATCCAGGAACAATTCGCACGCGCCCAGGTACGTCGTCCGGTCAACGATGGTGCCCAGCTGCACCGTTGCAGGTGAGCACTCGAACCACTTTGGGCATACCGGATACAGGTCGTATGGGAATGCTTTGATGCATTCAACAAAGCTCGCGTGCGCTGACTAGACCAGTTTAGCTGACATTCACGAATTGATTGAGAACAAACAATACCCGGCGGTTCCCCAATTTAGAGAAGCAGACCCCTAACAATTCCCAGCGCCTCCAAAGCTGCTCGTCTAGCTGTTTCCACCCGTCGGCATTCTTGTCGTCTTTGATTTGTTCCTGACGGCGCAGCTCCCGTGCGTTGCCACCCAGCTTGCAGCCGTCCTCCAAGAACGGGATTGCCGCCCCATACTTGGTCGCGTTGTACAGCGTCCCTGCTAGGTTGTGAAATGCGCCAGAAACACATCGTGCATAGTTCGCTTTCCGTTCCGTTGCCAAGTCCAGCGCTGCCACAGCACGCGTCAGAGTCGCGTGGGCCTTTGGAGGCGAGCCAGCGAGAGCCCACCGCGACACGGAGAAGATCGTGTCGAGTAGCGAGGTCAGTGTATCGTTGGTCCCATTCTGATTATGTCAGTTCGGTTCATCCACTCAAAAACAAACACACCTGCTGCACTGAACACTCGAGCACGTCCATCACTTTCTCAACAAATGCAGCGCCATCGTTTCCCTCATCAACTGAAGTGATCACGCTCCGCCTCGCTTTCTCCATCGCCCGATACATTTTACCGTGGAGATCAGGGTTTGACAACACAAGCGTGACGCCAGCCCAATCTACAGCATCCATTAGGTCTGTCTCCTTTGCAGCAGCGATCTGTGCAAACAAAGTGCAACTCTTTGTGCACTGCACCGAAAGGTCCACCGTGTCCGCAGATGGCTTCCCCACAACATTTGCGACTTGGCCCAGGGCGGATATATTCCTGGTCTGCTCGGTTATAATTAGCGATCGGTATTCCAATCAGACAGAACTCATTCACTCGATTCGCACAGTTCGTCCAGCACTCACAAAATGCAGCAAACGCCTTCCCACTCATGAAAGCCTCCGCGTCTGGCCTCCGCTGTGCTCGGCCCACCAAATCATCGAACGCTTCGAGCACCGTAGTCGTCACTGCATCCACCTCGGTCGCCGCCGTAGCTTTGATGAGCGCCCCAGCCGCCTTGGTTGCTTGGTCCCAGAACGCCCGGGGCTCGACCTTCCCCGACTCCGTGTGCGCCAGACACCCCAGCCCATACCTCCGTAGTGCAAACGCCTGACTCGGTGTGACCCTGGCGTGGCCGCCAGCCGCACGACGCAGCTATACGCGCGTGTTAGTGTCGCGTCGATGTGTTGTGGTGGGATCAGGCGCGCCCACGTGAGCAGCGTGGTCGAAGACGACAACGTGAGACAGCCCACGAACGAGCTCAAGGGAATCTTTGAAGGTGTCTGGGACGAGAGGACAGTCAGTGTGTGAAGTAGGAATGTAGTTGTGAGGGTGAGCAGAGTTGGCGTAGGAGTAGTGGCTTCGTCGGGTAATGATATACTGAGTAGATCGAGCTGCGTGGAATTAGTTGACAATGGAGCTAAGCCAAGTAGCCGACACAGTCTTGGATGCATCGCGCGCAATGCGAGAAGGGCGGCGTCGTACTGCATGTCATTGAGTAAATAATGAGTGGCAATAACAGATACACACCATCTCCAAAGCAACAAGTTTCCCTGAGAGGCTTCCCGCTGCGCGCTCGACGTCCAACATCGCATCAGCGTCAGAAAGTTCGCGCAGGGTTGCAAGATGTCGTGCCACATCCGCTGCACTTGCTGCCGCAGACTTCTTCTGCGCGGCACCCCCCGCATCGGAGGTGTATTTCCATCCAGACTGCACCAGGACAGAGAGACTCTGTGAGGCTTGATTCACAGCGCGCATCGCGCCCAGACGTCTATCTTCGGGCGTTTCCGTCGCTTTCTCCTTCCCTTTGCCCTTCCCCTCCTTCTTGACCACCACAGCCTCTTTACTACAGGCTGCCTCATTCTCCTTCTCCTTCTTAGCTGCCGGAGTAGTCCTTCTCGCGGTGGTGGTGGGTTTCTTTGCCATCGCCGTCGCGTCAGTACCCCCCACCTTGGCACGCGTACCAACAGGTGGTTCCTTCTCCTTCCCTTTTGGCCTAGCCTGAGCCTTTGTGAGTGATAATGCAGCCATCCTGGTGGCTAGATGATCCGTCGAGGAAGCTGTCGCGCGTGGCAGCGCGGTGCGACGCGTGGTGGTCGTCATTGCTGAAAGACCGGGAACGCGTCAGGTGATCGGTCAACCAGACCTCAATCACTGTCACGATCACGGCCGCACCGCATCCTGATATCCTTGACCCACATTGACCTCAAATTTGAACTCGATACTCGACGCGTTCGGGATGCCCGCCTCTGCTGCCCCCATGATCCCCAGCATTCCCGGCGAGCGGATACCGCACTCGAGTGATCAGCTAGCGTGGCTTCGCGACTCCGTTGGACGCATATGCGGTGTTGATTCAAAGAGGTGGATATCTGCCATGTTACATCTAGATTCCACTTACTCACTTCCAGGTTTCCCGGGAGTCAGCCGGTCAGCTTTGCGCAGGCGGATCTCGCGAAGCTAGAGAACCAGGAGTGAGTGCCGGCTTGCTGAATGTTACCTGGTGTTGCTGATTGACGTGGTCCTTTCGTTCTTGTCGTGCCCTTCCAGCTTCTTCGTGTGCGAAAAGTCGGACGGCGTCCGTGTCCTCCTCGTAGTGCTTACGGATCCCAGTGGAAGTCAGTTCGTCCATCTCGTGCGTCGCCACCTTCGTTACGAGGCCGCTCGAATGCACATGCACCTTGATTAGGTTGATCGGAAGAACGACTACTACGATGTGCGCGGGATTTACTTCCCGCACCACGAGAACCCCACGAAGCCTCTGCAAAATACGATAGTCGACGGGGAGCTTGTATACGATGTTGATCCCACCACCCGTGCCGTGAGCAACCCACTTGCGAAGAGAACTTTCGGATTGACTGAAGCGGGGCACAGCAAACATTACGCTTTCTTGCCTTCGATTGCCTGGTAGTCAACGACCAGAACATAATGTCACGCCCACTCGATAAACGTTATGGGGTAAGTTTAGCAGTTAATATGCAACCTGACCGACCACCTTCCAGAGACTAAAAGAGTGGTTCTATAAACCGTTCGCACGCATGAAAGTCGATCACCCGCAAGTCGCTCAGTCGCATCTGTTCGAGTAGGTTCGTTGACTCCCCGCTACCTTTCTTTGGCTCATGATTTTCTCCATATAGTATCCGCGTGAAGGACGTCAAATCATCGTACAACGCGGAGCAAGTGTTCATGGAAATGCCCCACCTCCAGCACGGCAGCGACGGACTCATCTATACGTGTGTCAACGCGCGGTACTCGCCAGGGACAGATCCTAACATGTGTGTACGGCTGTCAAGCCGCCTTCTGAACTCATCCTTGCGGCAGTCTCAAATGGAAGCCCCCGTCAGAAAACTCGATCGACTTCAAGTTGGTGTTGCGCTTCCCACCGTTGTCCAACGACCCGACGCAGCCTGACTTCCACGCGAAGCCAGTGTTTGTGCTCAACATGTGGTGTGGGGACGAGCGCTACGAACAGTACGATGTGATGTATGTCGAAGATAGCGAATGGGAGAGGTGCTTCCAATCCCCACTCTCCTTAACCATGCTCATCCAATCGTCAACGTAGCATGAAAGCCTCAGGCGACCAATACGACGACCGGATTGTTGAGGTTCATTGGGACCCATCCAAGAATCACTGGCGGTTCATGCGGTTCCGCGATGACAAGTTGCATGGAAATCACCGTTCAGTCGTGGAGAGTATAGTCTCCAGTATTGCCGATGGCGTTGAACGAGAAACAGTGCGTGTGATACCCCGTTAGATCATCACGCAGATGAGACACTCATTTATCTCTTGTCAGCTGCTAAGCCGATCGACAGCTATACGAAATGCCTGGAAAGTGCGGATGGGAAACCCTCAGCCCGCGGTTATGTCGGCCCCTCAATCTGTCGTGGAATTTAAGTTTGGACCGCTCGGGACGTCTCAGTGGAGCAAAGTGTCGGGGCCATTGGTGATAGCAGGAATGAAGCGATGACATTGGCTGTTTCATCTTGTCTGCAAACATTTGTGGTAATAACAAGCGGTCGTGTGTTGTCGGTCGTACATACAGTAGGTAGGTACAAGACAAATCGTAGCAAAGTCGTGGTAATGGATCGTGATCGAGATAACGAAAGCATTTTGACCAAAGGGAGAATGAACAGAGGAGTGCATGTCTAGTTGTACAATGGCAGATGTTGGTTGTTGTTTTCTCGGTTCAAAATCGATAGCAAACGATAAATAAAGTGGTAAATGGGACGTGCGTTGGGTCCAATGGGTGTGAAGGACATGAATAGAACCCCGGGCGCATAAAACACCCGCGAGGCCGTCATAAAGTCGTGTCGTCGTGGAACGAGGCGAGATGTGTATGCAAGAAATAGAGTGTAGGAATGGTGTGAATGCAAATGGATATTCGTGAAGGGGAATGACGGCTGGCGTGAAGGCATACATTTTCTAAGACGCGTTTTAGGCTCGTGGATGCTGCCAGAATTTCTGACAGAGTTGTGTGGAAGGTGCACCGATCAGTCCGAAAGGAACGCGGATGACGAGAGCGGCGACAACGCAAAGTCGGCGTAGCGCTCGCACGAGGTGGCCAGATCAACCAGAGATAGCGTGCGTAGGTTCGCGAGCAATGCAGGACGCGCGCGCCCCAGGGTTGGCGACGGTGGGGCCAGCGCGTCGGGCGAAGTCAGTCCAAACGCGTCTAGGAACGGCTGCTCTATCTGAGCGTCCGAACTGTCGGGTGTCGACTCGAGGGAAGACGTCGAAGACTCGAGCGCATGCCGCCGAGGGGTTGTTGGCGCGATAGCGAGCGCAGCCATCTCCGCGACTGGCGCCTGGACATTCATGAGCTCGACTGGTGGTCGGCGACAGAGAAAGCGATACGTACTTCCGACGAACCCAACCCAAAAGAGATCCACAGATCATGCGTGTCCAGATGCTCAACACCAAGATCAACGCCGGCCGGGGTGACGGCCGGGATGTTGTCTTGTTCGGAGCCGTCGGCGTCTTCCTCCTCCTCCTGCTCTTGCTCAGGGAGCATAGGCTCCGTTTGACCTTGAGTGACGCTCCACCAGTCCAAATCAGCGAGAACCCGTCTGATGTTGGTTTCTGAGCCCGAGGAACGACGATGACCACCGCTGCCCTGGGAGCGCGTCCCAGAGGAAGAGTACGGGGTGCTGCGAACCACAGGCGAAGAAAGGGAGCGGCGAAGAGAAGGCATACCGGGGACGGGGACCGACGACGACGAAAGCAACCGCCTGGCGCAGCGCTGGAAGTGGGTGAGAGATGATTTGGAGGACACCTTGGCTTTATACTTGATCAATCTAAAAAAATGTGATGATTGTGAAGGGTCCGAAACTTAAGACCGAGGAGTGACTACGCTCAAGGGCTTCCAAGTCTTCTTGCCGCTCTTCGCGTCTGCGGGTTGCCCCTGGTGTTCCCTGAAATATAGTTGTGTATTCAATCCTTGTCTCCTGAGCGGAGATTGTCTTGCAGCAGCTCGCGGCTTTTCACGCAGCCCGATTGATGCAGACACCGGCAACAATTTGGCCATAGGAAACGACCGAAGCAGATGATTATTTGGAATGGAACTGGAGGCACGTCGGATCTGCGGCAAATCCGGACCTGCCTAGCTCATTGCTCCCGAGTGCGACGCGCGCCGTGCTTTTGAGCGCGAGCAAAAGATGGAAGTGCACGCGGGTCGAGCTAGGTGGCTAGCGCACACGTAAGAACGCGTAAGAACGCGTCTAATTCACGCGAACAAGACGAAACACGGTGGATCACGCTGACGCGCTCCATGACGTAAATCTGTCCATCTCTGATGCTCCTTTCCCCCGTGTGCAGACGTCCCAAATCATACCACCACATTCTCGCGTCGGCCATTCACCCTGCCGCTCGTCAGACACGCCGTTTCGCGCCGAGTGATGCTGATGCCTGGAGACTCGCGCACTGCGGTAGAAAGACGGCGCCAGATACTATATCATCAGGGACATCATCACGGTCGCTTTTGAACCTTCAACATCGCCTTCATAATCGCCTACTCGGGAAGCATCTTTTGTGGATGCGTGTGATAGAGGCAACCCCCGCGTGGGGTCGGCGCCCGAAGCTAACATGTGCATAGCAACCTAAGGCTAGATGGCCGCTCAAAATGCGGAGAACCTGCCCCAGGAACTTATACATCCGCGCATCTTGGACTGGCCATCCAGACTTGTTGTGAATGTGCACTCGACTTAAGAAGATGACGGCGTTCGATTCGGGCTGACATCTTCGACCAGTGCTTTCTAAGGTGGATCTAGTCTGCTTGACTGAGTCCTTTTACAAAACGGAGTCAGACAACGTCTCTGGTTCGTCAGATTTCAGTCTAATCCTGCGAGGATCTGTCGACGACCGCCGCGAGAACATGCTGCTCGGTGCTAGAGTCGCAAACCCTGGATACACACTTGGGCTTGCATTCGGACCCACTGTGTGGCTTCCGATCAGCACGTGCTCCACCACAGTGCTTAATGTTATCCTGCACCTTCACAAGACGACCATTCAAGCATAAGATCGGCCAGAGCCGGAGGGGCACCGAGTATCATCGTATCTCCCCGGATATTTTTACTGTTTCGCGGAGAGCCAGGGCGTCCCGAATCCGTCCGATCTCCCGATAACTGGTGCACCAGATGTGACAATCATCTACAATATAAAACAGGCAGTGGCGCGTGCTCATCGCATTGGCTGCACTCACTCAACATGGCGGAGCCCAAGGGTAAATCGGTCGGAGACTTTGCAAGTCAGTTAGCCTTGCGATTATTGCACCTCAATTGACTGACTATTCGGCAGCTGACTTCATGCTGGGCGGTGTCGCTGCTGTGGGCTCTGTTCCTTGACCCTCAATCTGCATGCCAACTGCTCTGTAGGCCATATCCAAGACGGGAGCAGCACCCATCGAGCGAGTCAAGTTGATGATCCAAAACCAAGGTGAACTCATCAAGCAAGGCCGACTTGCGACACCTTACAAAGGTAGGATCAGCACTCTGTGTGTTTCGTGTCTTGACCAGCTACAGGCATCGGGGATGCCTTTATGCGAACGTACAAGGACGAAGGTCTGGTCGCTCTCTGGCGAGGCAATGGCACCAATGTCCTCCGTTACTTTCCAAC